GAACGGTTCAAGATCAAAACCATTTTTCAAACAAAACATACTCTCAAGAGTATGTTTGTCAAGACCACTCCAAAAGGAGAACCTCAGCATACCTCACATTGTATTTATAGTATCCCTTGTGAGTGTGGCAGATATTACATCGGGGAGACTGGAAGACCGCTGGCAGTGAGACTTCGTGAGCACAAGCACACGTTCAAGGAGGGCCTTCTGGACAAGTCAAGATTGGCCCAACATGCCTACGAGGAGGACCATTCTGTGAAATGGGATGGAACGGGGATCCTGGACCTCGAGAGGAACGCTACCGTCAGGAAATACAAGGAGGCAGCATATATGGCTTGGGCTGGCAACACGATTAGCCAACCTAGCTTGGATTTCTCCATCATTTGGTCACCCCTGGTGTTTGAGGAAATGATATAGGTCCAGTGATTGAGATTAGCTTGATCTAAGGGACCCAACTGTATAGGACACATAAGAACCCTCCTTACCTTTTAATTTTTTCTCCCATTTTTCCCTTTTTTACCTCCATTTTACTTACCTGAGGACGGTAGCAGATCCAGCTTCCGAAACGTCGTGGTTCAACTGACTGGGACGATGGATACAGTCCAGAATTTTAGTTTTAATATTAAGTAACACAATGCAAATTATACAGACATTCATATTATTAAAAAAAAAGCTACTGATGAATTAAAAAAAGATGTAGCACTTAGAAACAGGCAACTTTAAAACTTGCACAGTTTACATTGAAGTCTTCTCAGACAATCAGCCATGTCACTGTTGAAGTAGTGTCTAAGATTTCAAAGACTGTCTTTGTCTCCATCATCAGGGTTCATGTGATAAGTGTTGTATTCACAAGCGACAGTTTTGCCCAAAGCTGTCATCTGTCCCAGCCAAGACGACAAGGGCAACAGTAGGAGGACTGCATGGGGAGCTCTTGTTTCTGGCAGAATCCCATGAATGCCTTAGAGAGAATCTCGTACCATTCAGTACTCATCACACCAAACCTGAAGATGCAGACATAGACAGTCACTGGCAGTTGAACACCAACTCCACATTCACAAGGCTAGTCACCCAAGAAGGCTTCATTGTAAGCAGTCACTGAAAGTTTCAAATCATGCATAATTATAATGTTTTTTTAAAAAAAGGTAATACCTTATTTTCTTTCGTTTTCAGATTATATGAAAGTTCATATATCTGTTTAATGATATCATCCAAAGTTCTGACCCCATTCCTTGCCTTGTTCTGGTATTCTACGATACTTCCACTACAATCCCCTGAAAACTAAATAGCACAGTAATATTATAAAACTATCAAATTAACTTAAAATACTGGAAATTAACAGAAATACTTAGGACTTCTATTCTGTCCAAAAATACTATAATAAGCTTCAGAGTAAGTATGAATTTTATACACTTCTCAACTAGGTAAATATTTATGAAACTGCAGTTCAGACATGAACTCCATGTATGTTGATCATCTGCTCACTGCGAAATGAACAGAAGATAAATACATCAGGCCTTGTCCATTAGTTGTCTGCGTGTTTAATCTTCAAAATTAGAATGAAGTTTGATTACATTTTATAACATAGTTCTACATTACAAGTTGCAAATGTGAATTCTGAACAAGAAGTTTGGAATAGAATTGATCACCTACTTTCCTTTGATATGACATAAACTTCATAGAAAATAACTCCTCCAACAATTCTTCTATTGCAAGAGTTGAGGTTTTCACAGCAGTGACTATGAAGTATGTTGTCTTCTGAGATGTGGCATTGTGTAGATCTTGTGTGAACTGATGTTTCAGAGGAACGTATGGCCTACATCTTCAGGGTTGAAAAATCCATGAGCGAAGAACAAGCATGAGCAGGTGTCTGCAGCCACATCCCAGAAGATGACATTCTCCAATTCTTCTACTGTTGTGTATTTGTTGCCATGGGAATGTGTTTACTGAGCCACTGCCTAGCAATGATAGGGGGATACAAACACAGACCCCACAGACTCTCCTTCGGTATGACAGACCGCACAGAAAATGATACATTCAACAAGTCTTCTATTGTTGCATGTGTATTCACTGTTGTTGTCATGCTAAGCCTTTGCCTAGCAATGACAGGGGAGATTACATACACAGACACTCAAACTGATGGGAGGGATTCGTGAAGTACACTGGTGAGATGGGCTCAGGTGGCATGATATACATACCAAGTGTCACAAAAATTGGTTCAGGCACTCAAAGGTTCAGAGGGGGGCTACACAGACACATAGGCATCAAAGTGATCTCATAAGCCTGCTTGAATTTTTTTCAAAATAGGGAAAGTAGGCTAAATATCGGCACATCGTGTATATCTTGCAAGCCTAAAATTAATTTAAAACATCATTCAATAAGATACTAATATAAGTATGTAATAAATAATTCTCAATTCTTATTAGCTTTGCAATAGTCAACTTGTGATTTGTTTCTGCAATAAGTAAAAATCAAGACCAGTGGGGTATGCAAAATATAAAAAGCAATTTGGAAAGAAAGTATACTGTATTGAGAGCCAAAAATAATGAAATCATTATTTTTGTTCTTGGTAAAAAACTACTGCAAGTCTTATTACAAATTCCTTAAAGTATAAACATTTCCTTTACACCAAATTACAAGGGAGAGTCAGTAAATAGGTCACAAATGGGTATAAGATGTAAAACATGTGACATTCAAACCTGGAAAAGAGAGTTATTTCTCAATACATCCTCCACCAACATTGATATACTTGTCCCATTGCTTTACCAGTATGTCAAAACCTACAGCACAAAAGCCTTTTGAACATTGTTTCAGCCACTTCTGCACCTCCATTTTAACTTCTCCATCATCAGTGAAACTTTTGCCACCAAGGTGATGTTTTAGCAGACCAAACAGATATAAGTCATTAGGGGAGCAGTCCAGGCTGTAAGATGGATATTCAAGAAGTTCCCACTGCAGTACTTCAAATCTCTCCTAGGCTACTTGAGCTGTATAGGATCTGGCACTGTCATGATGAAGCTGTACCCCTCTTGCCAGTTAGCCTGGGCATTTTCTGCCAATTTCATTCCAAAGCTTCAACAGAACTTTACAGTATGATGCAGAATTCACATTTTCACCATGCTTCTGAAAACAGGCTAACAGTACTCCCTGAGAATCCCAAAACACAGTAAGCATAACCTTCGAAGCTGATGGTGTAATCTTAAACTTTATGATCGAAGGTGAACTGGGTTGTTTCCATTGCAATGAAGCATGCTTTGATTTAGGTCTGTAGTGATGCACCGATGATTCCTCACCAATGACAATCCTGTTAAGCATATCTTCTCTTTCCCCTCCTTATGATGAGAAATGTTACAAGGACAGACCCATTCTCTTCATTTTGTCTTAAACCTTCAGTTCCCTGAGCACCCACCATTATGCAGCATGCTAGTGCATGTGCTGCACTGTCTATCATTATCCTCCTGTCAGCTGAAATCAACTCTTCCACCTGCTGCACATTTTCTTCTGTCACAATCTCAACAGGGGAACCTGGTCAGGGATCATTTGCAACTTTCAAATAGCCTCAAAAGAATTTCTCAACCCAGTTGTGAACCACTTTATGTGACAAACACTACCCACCATAAATAGGAAACATTTATTTATGAATGCACTTTGCACTGAGTCATTTGCCCACAGAAAAAGAACAGAAGAATGCTACTTTTCGGTATTATACTCCTCAAGCATGTTCACCATTTTGACTATTGAAACCAGCCTCTAAACATGCACAAGCATGTCTGCTACACAGACTGTCATAAAGCTGAAATGTGTTGCTCCCTAATGATACACAAAGAAAACCTATTATGTCCATTACACCTATTTACTTCCATTTGTGGCTTATTTACTGACTCTCCCTCATATATTTGCTGATGAAAACAATTCATTCTGAAATATAAGGACTAATCATAAAGCTCTTGAACTAATTTCACTGTATATAAATAATAAACACAATTTAAGTACACTAAACCATAGATGCTACAGATAACTGTTTGGCTTCACCTCAGCTACCATATACAGAGCTTATGTTAAAAAAGGAGAAGCTAAAAGATACAAATTTTTAAATAACATTACTGGTTCGGATTACCTCTGTCTGTACTTCTGAAGTTACTAGACTCAGCACAGGCTACTCTGTTTGTATTCCTGATGTTACCAGACTCAGCTCTTGCTGCACATTAGTGTTCACAATGTTGGCAGCACCCTACCAGCAAATTGCACATGTAAAGAAAGATACAAAACAAAACTTTAATGCTTCCCTCTTCTTCCTTCTAACCTGGCTACATAGCCAATATCACTGCTGACTGGTACTGCTCAGACACCTGATCACCACAACCAGAGTTTCAAAATTTCTTCTTTCCTCTCTCTCTTTCTCTCTCTTTTCCAATCCAAAAATTAATACGCTAATTTTCCCTAGTCCCTCATCCTCATATCACAATTTGTTTTCAAGTTCCCGATACCCCATTTCACATTCTCTAACCACCTACTTAATTTGGCCATAATCTTCTATCACATCATTTGCCATCTCATTCAACTGGTCAAATTTTGATTTCAGAGATTTCTAGTTTATCTGTCTTTAACATCTGCTTCATTGTCTTACCCTCTTTCTCACTGTTCTTAATGTATGCGAAAATCTGGTCAACTGTAAACCACTTGACTTGCAGACCAGGTTAATCTCCACTCTGCCAATCACTAGCAATGCCAGAATCACTAACCCCATAAACTAAAGTTTTTGCAGAACTCTCCTGCCCCTCCTCAAACAAGTCATTCTTCACTTTATTATTTGACATAATTCTGGCAAGATAAGTTTTATTCTTTACTCCCACCCTAGGGCTGATAAAGTATGCCTGACCTCCTGTGTGACTGAGAATCAACTCCAAAAAAAGAATTATAATTAATGAATCAACATATATATTGTCACGAGTTGGGTGTATAACGCACAACAAATAACTTCACACCATATTGGATATAGTGAATTTATTCCACTCGCTCTTACAATCACACCATTTACAATCTCAATATTACTGCCATCAGCAGTATCATAAATACTAGATTGCAATTAACTGGTTACTCTTTCTCTAGTAACTGGCTCAATCATCGCTACTCACTAACTAATCACTCACTACTAACTACTGAATAGTGTTCGCTGCTCCTTATTTAGCCTCGGCACGGACAACACAGGAAACAGTTACGTGATAAGTACCACTGTTGCCTGATGCCGTGTTTACAGGTTGCCTAGCAACACTGTCGAGTTGTTTGCTGCTGCGTAGCAACCGCGGTATTCGTTGGTAACAACACAGTCTCTCTTCTGCCACGTCACCACGGGGGAGAGGGTGTTTACCAAGCGTTGTGTGGTAATGGAAGGGGTGGAGGTATGTGACGTCACTCGCAGACCAGAGTTCACATAACCCCTACTTCCCATTTCACCATCCACGTCACAATATATTTTCAAATAATGTAATTAATTGAGCATTATAAATTAATCCGCATTATCTCCACAATTTTCTGAAATTCCTAAATGATGCTTCATGTTCTTTCTGAAAAGCATACTCATCGGGTGATATCTTGAACAATCACTGATAAAATGCTGGATCTGGATGAGGAACTGCATTTGGATATGAAGACTGGGTAATTTTCACAGAAACTGTTACAGTTACAGTTACAGTTACAGTCATCTGGAACAGCCCCGCCAAAATGTCTGCAAGTACAACACAAAGTAATCTCTTGCAGTAGTTATCAACACTAGAAATTTGAAAATGCTGACTAAGAGTTAATCTAAGTAAAGAACGCTACTTAATTACCCTGAATTCAGATCCTGAGTGCCAAAAATATCATTGGCTGTGACTTCAGTGAAAGTGAGTCCAGTAGTATCCCATCTGTGTTCCTCTCTTAATCGCCAAATTACTTCTAAGAGGTTGGTGATGTCATTCTTCAGGTTTTTTATTTGTGTATCCAACAGCACTTCTTCATTCTGTGCAGGTGAAACTTACTGAGAAAACCCTGACTATCAATGTGGTAATAATCATGGACATAAATTGCAAGAATATGTTATAAACGTTGTTCCTTCTAGAAATAAGAACAAGCCCTCAAATTTATTTACTATAAAAATGATTAAAAATGTCATTTTATAACATTGAAACACACATGCAAATAATATTAAAAAATATGAATGCATTAACTGGCTAATGTGCAGAGAAGGAAGGCTTTTAGTGACTATAGATGGGGTTTAGATTGGTAATCAAATTTAATGAACTCTTACAACTTTTAACTATAAGATAGTATTATGCTCTCACTGTTCTAAACACTTAACAAATCACTATAGGACACATTAGGTCTTCTAAGTCTGTTAGTCTTCACTAGCCACTGCTTGGTAGCGGCTTCCAACAGCAGACGATCTTCTTCCTCTGGGTTCCCAAACTGTCCCAGGCCTCAGCTACCAGCTTCTCACAGCAACAACTCACAACAACTGAACCCCAGCGATTATCTAACTAACTCACTGACTGATTGACTAATTTCAACAGAGTCAGAGAATTAGTGTTACTTTATGACTGGCAATTTATTGCCAATCAGTTCATTTTGGCACCAAGCCCCTTGACACTCATGACTAGAATTTTTTATTCAACTGAACTCTTGTGATCAGTCCTCATGTAACATCCTCTTGTCGTGCGCGGCCTTTTCAAGCTAACTGGCCCTGCTTAAAACCTTCCAGCACAGATCACACAGAAAGCATTACTCCTCTGTTTCAGTGCAATTGCTGCCATGGAAACATGCTTGTTTGCAAAGCCGTTTCTTAGGAACGGCTGTTGTATAGTTGATTATTTTGCGGTCATTGCCTAGCAATGGGTCTACATGCCACAACATTTACAAAGAAATGGCAGTCTAACCATAATTATGATGCCAAACAAATTAAACCCATTAAAATGCACATTCTCATAAACACAAACGCATGCCTAGTCTTTATTCTCAAAATACAGATTTTATTTATTCTGAGCCATTATCGCTCTACTTTATCAGCTCTCTGAATTCATTAGCTTGTCCCACTGGGTTCCCCTTTTGTTCCCATGTGACATACGCAGACATCACTTTCCTCACCCTACTTCCTGGAGGAGGTCTGGGTCACATGGCTCTTCTCTAACAATCCTTATTTTCCTACCCATCTGTGCAATGTACATCTGTCACTTCATGTGCACATGCTTTCTTTTTCTATGGAGAGGCTCAAAGGATGGAGTGCTTTTAAATTACTGTTTCACATGTTGGTCTCTGATGGCAGTTTGTGCAATGTAAAATATTCAATTACATTTGGGCAGTCATCTGGAGTCACTGTAGTCAGGGACAGCCCTTGCTGTATGCACAGTACTCTAACTATTTGTGTATTTTACAGGGATATACAAGGTAAAACAAGTCGTTATTTTGTAAGATTTGAGGTTTCTATGGCGGTCACTATGAAGAATGCCGTCTTCCAGAATGTGGTGCCACCAGCTCACACTAGTTCCTCGCTCACATACATACATACATACATACATACATACATACATACATACATACATTTCATTTCACAAGTCCAAACAAATGGACACGAAGGTCGTCATACAAAAATTTAAACAAACACACAGATAACAAAATAATTAAAACTAATTGTTTATGTTATGCTCCACATATTCAGAAACTGTATAAAAGGAATTATTCATAAGATATAAAAACAGCCTATTTTAAAACTAATTTTAAGGCTTTAAGGCTTTGAATGGTTGTGGGCAATGTTGAATAGTTTAATAGCAGTAAACACAGTACCTTTCTGAAATGCAGAAAGATTCGAGTTTGGCAAATATAATTGCTTTTGATTTCTTGTATTCAAACCATGAACATCTAAACCTGAACAAAATTAATTTGATTATCAATCACAAACATCATCGAGAGAATGTATTCACATGACAATGGCAGTATATTCAATTTCTTAAAAAGATCCCTACAAGAGTCTCTAGGTCCCACTCCAGATATAATCCTTATTAATTTTTTTTGTAATTTAAAAACTCTAACATTAGTCGTTGAGTTGCCCCAAAAAATTATTCCATACTTAAGAACAGAGTGGAAATAATAAAAATACACCATTTGTAAAATTTTTTTACTCATAAAATAAGATAAACTCCTAATTACAAAAATAGCTGAACTAAGTTTAGGGAGAATATACTCTACATGACTCTTCCAGTCTAAATTCTTATCAATTTGCAGACCCAAAAATTTTATCACAGAAACTTCATTTATAAACAAATTCCCACTAGCAACTGCCAGAGAGTTATAGGACTGTTTTAGAGCAAACCTAATAATATTAGTTTTAGTGATATTTAAGGCCAACTTATTAGCTGTGAACCAATTTATAATAAGAGACAGTGTACCCCTGACTTTATGCTTAAGCTCATCATGATTATTACCAGTAACCAAAACACTGGTATCATCAGCAAAAAGAAAAACTTTAGCCAATTTATTAATATATGGAGGCAAATCATTGATGTAAATAATAAATAGAAGTGGTCCCAAAACTGACCCCTGTGGAACCCCGTTTAACTCTTTCCCAAGATGAAAAATAGTCCTGACCATCATTAGTTTTGATGTACACACACTGTTTTCTATCCCATAGATATGATTTAAACCAGTTTAATATACAACCCCGGACATCATAATACTCTAGTTTAGATGTCAATATCTCATAATTAACACAGTCAACAGCCTTACCAAGGTCACAAAAAATCCCTGCAGTCTGCAGTTTGTCATTCCAGGCCTGAAGTATGCCAGTCATAAAAGAAAAAGCAGCATGGTCTGTTGAAAAATTTTTCCTAAAGCCAAATTGTTCCTGCACCAGAATATTATTAACTTGTAGATGCTGACTCAATCTACAATGCATAACTCTTTGCAAGACTTTACTAAATACAGTCAACATATAGAAATAGGTCTATAGTTCGTAATATCAACCTTATCTCCTTTCTTATACAGGGGCTTTATAACACCATACTTCAAGCGTTCAGGAAATACACCAGTAATGATAGACATATTACAGATGTAGGAAAGGGGCGCATTTATGAAGACGCTACAAAGTTTTAATACTTTAGATGAAATCCCATCATAACCAGAAGCCTTCTTTGATTTTAAAGAACAAATTATATTGATAATTTCTCCTTTGGTTACAGGAATTGCTTTCATACTATGAAAAATAGGCTGAAAAGCGTTCTTTAATAATTCAAGAGGTGAACTAGTTTTATCAGGATGTGTTTGCAGACTATGAGCAATATTAAAAAAAAATACTCGTTGAAAGCATCAGCAACATCATTAGATTGAATTTTCCTATTATCCATTTTAAACATAACCTGCATATAATTGTCTTTGGTGGATATATGCAATACATTTCTTATAATATTCCATGCTGTTTTATTTCTATTATTAGAAATTTCAATTAACTGATTATAATGTAATTTTTTTGCTTCATAAATTACTTTCCTTAAAATAAGAAAATACTTTTTATAACAAGTTTTTACTTTTCGATCGTTACTATATTTGATTAACTTATATAAAAATCTTTTACCTTTACAAGATGTCTTTATACCCGTAGTAATCCAACTTTTATCACTGTTATTGCTCAAGTACACAACAGGGAAGCTTGCTTCATAAATGTTTAAAAAAGTAGATAAAAATTTATTAAAAGCACAATTAACATCAGTATTAAGATAAACTTCATTCCATTTTTCATAAGATAGCTGTTCAGTGAAATATTTAATAGTTTCACTAGTCAGCAATCTAGATTTATAACTAGATCTTGATTTATTGTTAATTTTATTGGTAGTAGCAAAATATTTATCAAGTATAAAACATTGTGCCTCATGATCAGACAGTGCATTACATAGGGGTAATGTTATACAAGAAGATAATCTTGATTTATCTACTAAAATATTGTCA